TTTAGTTAGAGGATCCTCACAAATTTAAAAATGTCMAAGAAAATAAGGTTCAAAGCATCTCAGTATGCATTACCTTGTTTTAAGTTTAAATATGACATATACTCTACTTTCAAAAAAAATCCATATATCTTGCACACTGAAAAATCCTCACTATCAACAACAAAGACTAAATAAATAACACACCTAATGTTTTCCTGCTTGTCTACAGTCATTCCAATAAAGACCACCAGTCGGGAGCCCAATTCTTGAACAGAAATAAAGCCTTAAATAACAACTTTCTCAGCACCGTCAGGGGTCATTTCAACCACAAGTGCCTCCCAGCCCCATCTCTCAAAACTGTTACAGCATTAAAACAAGTAATTCAGCTTTTTAGMACTTTTTACCAAAGTTTCAGTCACAGCACATTGTCTACCTGACAGTGAATACAACAGAGGAAGGACATGCCATTCCAGGTGGACAAACCACGCTAAATATGTATATGTTCTGCTGCAGCGCATAAAGCCCTACATGTACAACCTAAAATATTTATAACTTCTAACAATGAAAAAGAATAATAAATCAGTGAGACTAGTATGAAGTGTCTGATTTAGTAGTTATTGCAGGYTGCAAATCAACTCAATGCATGCATCCTGTGAGACCCCACAATGCAAACAGCTCAGCAGTTTCKGAGAAACACAAATGCATCCAACAGCCAGGAAAGTTCCAGTCATCCTCAATGAACAGGATCTGGATCAGTTTCTTGTGGCCTCTCAACCCGAGCCATTCTACTTATTTTAGAAAGGGCAGCCCCTTGGAGGTCAACTTTTCACCATGTCATTAAACCAACTAAACAGATTCTGGGAACCAAAACAGGTCAGGAGAGAAAGAACCATGAAATATAATCAGCAACCCCCATATGCAGGTTGGTCTCAGTCACACACCATCTTTCCTCGTTTTTTATCTCTCCCACTATTTTCAAGTCTCTTCTTAACAGCTGCATTCAAAGTTTATTTGTATTTTAATGATTTAGTGATGTAAGCGCCTTTTGCCAAACTGCCTGATGTTCTCTCTGCGATGACCCGCTGTGCCAGGTCGCTGGGCAAGTGATCCTAAGCTACGATCAAATCATCGGAGAGATGAAACTKCTGCCTACTAAGAAGCTGTGCACGAACAGGGTGGCCGCCCTCCTCTTAAYAGTTTAAAAATTACGCTTATGAACAACGATCCATTAAAAACAAATACCTTTCCTTCTTCCCCTTCCCCGCCCGTAGAAAATGCCCGATTTCACCTACAAAGCCTTCGCAGATTTCACAAGTCGGCTGCTGGCTTTTTTTTTAAGAAGTAAAACCAGCGTGAAGTCCCGGGCGCTGCCATGCACTATTCGCTTCTCAGCTACTCCGAAGCAACCTCTACAAAGCCCCGCTCGGAGGTCAAAGACTCTACAGGTTCCTTGGCGTCCCTGGCACGGACACCGCGGCCTATGGAAGGCAACACACGAAACCCCGAGCGAGAACGGAGCGCGGGGGAAGGGCCTGCCCAGCTCCTCACRTTCTCCGCTCGGCCACCGAGGATGGGGCCGCGCTCAGACCTCCCGGTGCACCCCGGGGACCTCCCGGGCGCAGCCCCCAAGGCGGGCGGTACCTTGGGGGGCCGGATCTTGCAGATGCCGGTTTTCTCGGCCAGGCCGCGGATGCGGCCGATGAAGCCAAGCGGGTCGCTGAACTCCTCCCAGCTGGGCTCGAACACGGGGCACTCGGGTGGCGGCACGAACTCGGCCGCGTAGCGCGACCCGCCGCCCCCCGCCATGGCCGCAGGGGGAGGGGGGCGCCGCCGCCGCCGGGAGCGCAGGGCGGAGAGGGGCGGCCGGGGGGTTCAGGGGCTGGGCTGGGGGCCGAGGCGCATCCCCCGGCGGCGCTGCCGAGCGGAGCGGCGCGACCTGCTGCCGAGTGCCGCTGTCGCTGTCCCGGCTGGGGCCGCTCCCCCCGCCCGAGCCCCGCTCCTCGCGTCCCGGTCCGCCGGAAGTTACGCTATTTCTCAGCCCTCCCCGGAAGTTTCGAAGAGTTGCCTTCCGATCCAAGAAGTAGTCCCTTCGCCACGCGGCTCCTGGCGAGGTGTCTCCCGCACCTGCTTCTCCCGGGAATGCCGCCGCGACRGATTCCAGCGCAAAACCTCTCCGCCCACCGCCTCTCAGGGCACTGCAAGCGGCAGGAGGGGCCGGGGGCCGGGGAGGGCGGGGCCGCCGCCACTTCCGCCGCGGAGGAATGTGCGACGAAATGCAAGCCATTCAGTTCCGGTTGTGCGGGGCCGCGTCGCCCATTGTCTGTGCCGGACGTCAGGAGCGCCGCCAGAGGCCACGCCCCCTCCTCGYGTGGGCCACGCCCCCTCCGTAGGCYCCGCCCCTCCCGCCCGTGCCCTCAGGAACCGCCGGTCTGTAACGAGTGAAAATGTSAGAAATGATGAGATCCAGGGASCATCGAGTCCGACACCYGGCCCTGCACAGCACCATCCCCAAGAGYCACACCATGTGCCCGGGAGCGTTGTCCAAACGCTTCTTGAGCTCAGTCAGGCGGGTGCTGTGACCACTTCCTTGTGCCCAACCACCCTCTGGTGGAAGAACATTTTCCTTACAYCCAAYCTAAACCTCTCCTGACACAATTTAAGGCCATTCCTTYAGGACCTGTCACTGTTTTCCAGAGAGATCCATATATTTTATCCTATCCATTGCCAKAAAGTCTTCCAAAGTAAATKGCATGGGYTTKTGGTTTTTTAACCAGAACTSTGCTTTCAGTGTMTACCAAATGCCACATTTCACTTTATTCTTACTGATGATTCAAACCTCGGTGCTRGTGTTCTATTTCAGCCTCAGAAAAAGTTAATTTTCTCCTCCAGTTACCAGGAGGCTTTGCAAGATCTGCTGCCCACAGATCACAACATTTATCTGCATCACTTCCCTGGAAGATTAAAAGAGGTGCCACCCACATTTTACATGTGGGAAACACATCTCCAATGCAAATGGTTAATTTTGACAGAAGTTAAAGTAAGAGCAAACTGATCTTTTAAAACATTGAGACACTTGAGGTTATTGTGTTGTTGCTTAGTATTCTGGCATTTTGTAGAGGGTTTCTGACACGGAAATGTGATACTTTTACATAAGACTGCACATGCATGTGGAATGCAGATGTTTCCTAACTAATATCTAGAAATTATATATTTCTATAAACTCCTTCCACTTTTCTTCTTTTGTTATTTGGTTGTCTTTCWCTTCTGATGAGCTGTACCATACTGTTTTGAGGAAAWTCACATGTATYGTATACCCAACAACAGAATCACCACATACGCAATTTCTAAGATAAGCAATTATTTAGCTAGGAATACCAGAGGGAAGAATCTCCATGCTCTCCGAGCTTTGTTTTGAAAACCAGTCTTTTGCTGYCTTCCCTGTAGACTCTTCAAGGTTGTTTTGGTGTTTTGTTAATATGTTTAGGCTAGTGGAGGTTCTTGGGAAGGTAATGCTGGTCTGGTGCAAGTTTTTTTAACAGCAAAGAAACAAATAACCCAAATAACCTGAGTGGGCATTTTTTTAATATCATCAGTTCTGCAAGACATCCTTTTGGAAAAAGAATTTTAAGCTTTTCTCCATTACCCTCTCTACTTTGGGACTTTTGGGCCTTTAAAATATTGGTCCATGTGTAGCCCATGTCAATATTCTTCTGGGGTATTTATAATTTMCACSAGAGAAGACTTCAGCCCCTTGTACAATGTATTCAGCTGCTTTATGAGCAGTGGGRAGAGCACCMAGTCTAACCACAGGGAATCATACRTATCCCAAASTGGAAGGGACCAACCAACCAGGATCATCAAGGCCAGTCCCTAAAAGCAACCTTTCTTCTGGACTTTGCCATGAAAAATTACCTACCCTGCTCTTTTCCCTATTCCACAAGAAAATCAGTTTGAAGAAGAATCATAGAATGTTCTGAGTTGGAAGGGACCCACAAGGAGCAGAATCTGACTCCTGGCCCTGCACAGCACCATTCCCAAGAGTCACACCATG